TTCACGGAATTTTGCACGTAATAATCTTAGGAAAATTGGCAAAAATAACACAAAAAAAAATTATAATCTAAAAATTAACCAAAATCCTGACATCCAATGATCATGATTTTACCACATACCCCATTTTTACTTACTTTTAATTTTTTTTTTTGGTTATTCACCAAAATAACTCATAGTCTTATTTCTTATTTTTTTTAGCAAAAAAAAAAAAATATAGTCTTCTTTCTAGCTGCCTTATTTCTAAATGTCTTCTCTATCACCGTTCAAAATTTTAATCATTTTATAAATATAAATATAATCAACATTTTATTTTATTAAATTTGATTGGTATATGTAAAATTAGGAAATTATCAGCATTAATTTTCGGAACAATTACAAAAATACCATTTTTTGTGTGTACATTTGCAATAATGCCACTTAGGGATGTCAATTTACAAAAATACCACTAATTATAGATTTATAAAGCCTATAGCTTAAAATTCTAAATTCTAAAAAATGTTTTGACACCTAAAACCCCCTAAACACTCAAAACTAAATTCTAATATAGCATAGTTAACCCAAACATAAATTATATAATGAAAAAATAATTTTGAAAAGTGGTATTTTTGTAAAGATTTCAAAAGTGTGGCATTTTTGTAAAATGGTATTTGGAAAGTGACATTTTTTAAAATTTCTCTTAATTTTTCGTTCAAAAATAATACTGTATATATTTGTGAAACTGAAAAACCCCAAGACATCTTTTATAGCGTCAAAAATACCAAAGCAAAAAAGACCCTGAAACAGTGAAACATGTAACTTGAACAACACATATGCAATATATCGGTTATTATTATATTTTCGACGAAATTTAAAATAGTTTTTTTTTGTTGCTAAAAGAATTTTAAAATAGTTTTTTTATTTTTGTAAACCAATGGTTAATCGGATTTTTACTACTCGACTAATCTTCCCAAAATAAATGTAGCCGTGGAGTAGCTCACTCACTAAATATTCTAATGAGCCAAAAATATGATATCATTTCGACTGACCAAATAGAAATAGGTAAATAATTTCGCGATTGAGGAGAACTGAACTCTAAATTAAACTCACGGAACAACTCATTTTAAAGTAGAAATCTCTAACCCAGAACCACTTTAAAACATTTTGACAACACATACATATTCACACAGACACATCTAACAAAATTATATTATAAGATCATCCACATTGAAGACGAAATGTGGATGTCTCTAAATAAAAAAATATTAAAAACACACTCTCTCTTCATTTTATTCAATTTTATACCTTCTCTTTCATCCTTTTACTCAACTTTTATTAATTTTATATTTAAACACACTCCAACTTTCATCAATTTTCTCTCTAACTTTCATCAATTTTCTCTCCAACTTTGTCTTCTCCGAGACATCCTCTCTCCAATAATACCCACTATCTCATCTCTTTACTCAAATTTTATTAATTTTATATTTCAATACACCCCATTATTTCAATCAAAAACACTCTCTTTTTTCCTTTTACTCAACTTTTAAAAATTTTATATTTAAAGACACATACAAAATGTCTCTAATGCGGATGCTCTAATGATGCACGTTTTTGCCACGTTTTGACGAACTGTAGAATTCACACCAACACGTCACACTAACCTAAAAAAAATATTAATAAAATCCGTTACGTAGGACAATATTATAATATTTGCATATGTATATGAAATTATTAATTCACACCCACCAAATCCCACTAATTCGGTTTATAAAAACCTCGCAACAATAAGATTATCACATAAACAAAAGAAATGAAAATCTCGGATACATAAACTAAATATAGATGATATAAACGTAACCTCTTATCGAGAGAGAAAGATCGACACACCACCTTTTAAGTACCGATGGAGTATTATATGTGTTGCAAAGTCAACAAAACCTTTTAGATCTGAAACCCGATCATCGACCAAATGACATTTCCATAATTATAAGAATTAGCCCTAAACCAGAAAACCATAAAAGAAAGCAAGCCTAAACCAAATAATGAACTATCAATATCAGTGAATCAGTGATATTGTGCCCATGACCACTAAATCTTTTTGCTGCCATCCAGTCGCTTTCCGTATCCTTGTCTTGTCACAAAATATTAGCAGCCATTAACCAACAAATAAATTCTTGACAATACTACTAAAATAAAACAATGATGTTGGGCCGAAAGGTTAAAAATGGGCCTTACCTTTTTGATATGTTTCACTGATTCTCTTTTGGATCAACAAACCCTAACTGTTAAACCCCTTTTCGAACAGAGCGAGAGAGAGAGACCATGGAAGACGCGTCGGAGATGGACGTAGAGTTGCAAAATCGTCAACTTTCAGATTTTTCTTCACCTCAAAATGTGAAGAAATTTGGTCTCAAGAACTCTATTCCGACCAACTTCGGCTCTGACTATGTTTTCCAGATTGTACCAAAGTAAGGTGTTCTGTTCTCTGATTACTCTTGCTCTTATTGTCGATAAGCATTACAATTTATGGTTACTGAGAGAGAACCCAGCTCTTGTTTTGTGACAGAATCGATTGGACAGCAATTGCGGTCTCTTTATCTACCAACTCGGTGAAGCTTTACTCGCCGGTTACAGGTCAATACTACGGCGAATGTAAAGGTCACTCAGACACCGTCAATCAAATTGCGTTTTCATCGGATTCGGCGGCGTCTCCTCACGTTCTGCACTCTTGCTCCTCCGATGGGACCATCAGATCTTGGGACACGCGAACTTTCCAGCAGGTGGATTTTGGTTTATGTCTTGTCTCATAGCAAGAAATGTGATTCCTTTTTCGGTTTAACGCTGATCTGAATTGATTTAAAGTTCATGTTTTTTGGTCATTGGTGTTTCAGGTTTCGTGTATTAATGCTGGGGATGATCAGGAGATTTTCAGCTTCTCCTATGGAGGTGCTGGAGATAATCTTTTGGCTGGTGGATGCAAAGAGCAGGTTAAGCATCTAAATCAGAGCCTTGTATTTTTATCCTCTAGATTCTTAACAAGAGTACACTTTGAGAAAAAGGCCAATTTTGAGTACTAGTTTCTATGTTCCTGCTTGTTACAATCTGAATTGATGGTGCAGGTTCTTCTGTGGGACTGGAGAAACTCAAAGCAAGTTGCTTGTTTAGAGGAATCTCACATGGACGATGTCACTCAGGTGTGTTACTTATGTTGCTATGTAGTGTTTCTACTCAAGTGGAATGGAAGTTAAAGTCTGTTGTATCTCTAGAGTCAAACTAGTTTGTTGTTAATAGGAATCAAACTCTGTTATTCCAGGTACACTTTGCTCCTAACAACCCGAATAAGTTACTTTCAGCTTCTGTGGATGGATTGATATGTCTATTTAACACTGAAGGGGATATCAATGACGATGATCATCTGGAATCTGTGAGTTCTTTGAACCTTTTTTCGCCTCATCGATAAGAGATGAGAGTAGTAAACCATTTTTTCATTGACTGCTCTTTAGGTGATCAACGTGGGAGTTTCAGTTGGCAAAATAGGTTTCTTTGGAGATTCCTATAAGAAACTCTGGTGTCTCACTCATATAGAAACTCTAAGGTGCTCTGCACTCCTATCCATCATTAGCCTTTTTAATACGCTGTCTCTAATGTGTTTACTCCGTTCTAGTATTTGGAATTGGGAAGATGGAAGCTGCGAAGTCAACCTAGAAAAAGCGCGGGAACTCGCATCTGATAGCTGGACTCAAGATAATGTAAAGATCTCATTTCTTGCCTTCTAATAAAACATCAACGAGAAATCTAATGGTTGGTGAAAGACTTTAACTTTCTCATTGCCCATTTGCAGGTTGATTATTTTGTTGACTGCCATTGCCCAGGAGGTGAAGAGTTATGGGTGATCGGTGGTACCTGCGCAGGTACCATTGGTTATTTTCCGGTGGATTATAAACGGCCTGGAGCGATCGGTTCAGCTGAAGCTATTCTTGGTGGAGGTCATATAGACGTAGTAAGAAGCGTTCTGCAGATGCCATGTGAGTATGGAGGAGCTGCAGGGCTATTCGGATGGACGGGTGGTGAAGATGGGAGATTATGTTGCTGGAAATCCGATGGTGACTCTACAGAGAATAACCGGTCTTGGACTTCAAGCGAATTGGTAGTTAAGCCGCCAAGGAACCGCAAGAAAAACAGACACTCTCCTTACTAAAGACGAACACTGTTTTGTGTCTTGTATCATCAGTGAAGAAGACAGTTCTTTTGTGTCTCTTATTTGTGTTATTAAAAGACTTAAGTCTTTAAATGAAAATGCTGAAGAGAGATTTTGCATCTTTAGTGGCAATTGCAGAAAGGGAAGATAAAAACAGAGTAGATGCGAGTGTTACATTGTAATGCACTAAAAAAGGAATATGTGGCTTCATTCATTGGTTTTCTCATCAGTACTCGGCTCGACACTGTTCTTGTTCCAAAATATCAGAGATCTTCTCAATAGGAATCATCGGTAGATACTCTGCGACATAGTAGTCTCTGTCGCCAACGTAACGAACTGCGTCGTTGTACTTCTCGGACCAGTAAAACGCCGTTGGGATCACTAACTGCGCAACTTCCGGGAACAACGGTAGTCGATTAAGCAACCGCCACACACTCGCTGCGTAATACTCAGCCGCTGGCTCGTACTTGTCGCGAACACTCCTCGCGATGCTCTTTGTCGTGTCAACGACCCCTGCGCGTTGGACCTCCGTCGCGACAGTGAGCGCTTGACTAGAAGCTTGCTTCACCAACGAAGGAACGTATGTCCCTGCATCGAAAAACACATCGTCCACCTGCAAAGAAAATCACGCATCATCCATTGGAAAAACTCTATGAAAATGGTATTGATTGATTTATCACCTTACGATCGACGAAGAGGAGAAGCTTGAAAGGAACGTCGTGGAATTTGTCGTATAATGGTGCGAGAACGGTTTGAACCGAAGCTTCGATGTTCTCGACACCGAGTTTGAGCGGACCAGCGTTGTCTTTAGCGAACTCGTAGACCGTGGAGAAACAGACAGCGAAGTAAATCGCCGCGGTTTGGACGAAATCCAAGTGTTTGAGATTGGTCTCAGCTTCGTCTTCCACCGGAAACGAAGCCGAAGAAGACGGAATCGCTTCCTCTGATTGGTCCTCGACTACTATTTCATTTTCCGCCATTGTCGTAAACACTTGAAGCTGTTTCAGACGAAGCTCGTCTTTTTTATAAAGAGAGACAGTGACCGGAAAGAGTCGAACGGCTGAGATTTTAAAATGATAAGCCACGTGGCATGCTGACATGCACTTTTTAGCTTTAAGCGAAAAGGGGATTGGATGATCCGTGAGAGATCGCTGCAACATCTGTCGTATTTGACACGTGTACTATTTTTAATGGACCGTTGTAAACACGTGGCAGGGTATGGGTCGAGACTGTTGCACGATCCATACCGTTTGGCACGGGACTCGAGGTGTAAAAAGCAAAAAGGACTTGTCGTTCATTATGTTAGATTACTGTCAGTTTGGTAAGATTTATTGGGCCTAAATTCTCGAGTCCCATTACTAATTTGATTTTACCACTAAAACATTGAATAGCCCAAATAAGAACGACCTGGCCTCTACCGATTTCGTGAGACAAAAAGCAAAGCAAATATCTCACACTCCTACGAAATGAAATGTAGGCACAACTTTGGTTCTTGGCTCTGAATGGGAGTGCGGTTCGGCTCCGGTGCGTCGACCCAAATCGGACGATTTGAGGGCGGCACAGTTCATCTGCTTTTTCTGAGCGGCTCGTGCTATTGTTTTTACATAGATCTAAATCGCTCCACAACCGATCCCAAAAGCGACGATTAGGGTGCGGTGAGTTTGGTTTACATGTACATTTACTTTTATGCCCTTTTTTCTTTTTATAAGCGATGAATTATGACAAAAAAAACTCTCTCTCACCACTTCTCTCTCGTCGCTCGTTTCTAGT